TTTGAGAATTTCCTTTTCTAACTCTGTGAAGAATTGAGTTGGGATTTTAATGGGGATTGCATTGAATCTGTAGATTGCTTTTGGCAAGATGGCCATTTTTATTATATTAATCCTGCCAATCCATGAGCATGGGAGATCTTTCCATCTTCTGAGATCTTCTTCGATCTCTTTCTTCAGGGACTTGAAGTTCTTGTTGTACAGGTCTTTCACTTGCTTGGTTAAATTCACACCAAGGTATTTCATATTATTTGCAACTATTGTGAAGGGTGTCATTTCCCTAATTTCTTTTTCAGTCTGTTTATCTTTCATGTAGAGGAAGGCTACTGATTTGTTTGAGTTGATTTTATAACCAGCCACTTTGCTGAAGTTGTTTATCAGGTTTAGGAGTTCTCTGGTGGAAGTTTGGGGGTCACTTAAGTATACTATCATATCATCTGCAAATAGCGACATTTTGACTTCTTCCTTTCCTATTTGTATCCGTTTGACTTCTTTTTGTTGTCTAATTGCTCTGGCTAGGACTTCCAGTACTATATTGAATAGGTAGGGGGAGAGTGGGCAGCCTTGTCTAGTCCCTGATCTTAGTGGGATTGCTTCAAGTTTCTCTCCATTTAGCTTGATGTTGGCTACTGGTTTGCTGTAAATTGCTTTTACTATGTTTAGGTATGGGCCTTGAATTCCTGATCTTTCCAAGACTTTTATCATGAAGGGATGTTGAATTTTATCAAATGCTTTCTCAGCATCTAGTGAGATGATCATGTGGTTTTTTTCTTTGAGTTTGTTTATATAGTGGATTACATTGATGGATTTCCGAATATTGAACCATCCCTGCATTCCTGGGATAAAACCTACTTGATCATGATGGATGATTGTTTTGATGTGTTCTTGGATTCGGTTTGCTAGAATTTTATTGAGTATTTTTGCATCGATGTTCATAAGGGAGATTGGTCTGAAGTTCTCTTTCTTTGTCGGGTCTTTGTGGGGTTTGGGTATGAGTGTAATTGTAGCTTCATAGAACGAATTGGGTAGTGTTCCTTCTGTTTCTATTTTGTGGAATAGTTTGAAGAAAATTGGTATTAGGTCTTCCTTGAAGGTCTGATAAAATTCAGCACTAAAACCATCTGGTCCTGGGCTTTTTTTAGTGGGGAGACTTTTAATGACTGCTGCTATTTCCCTAGGGGTTATGGGACTATTTAGATGGTTTATCTGCTCCTGGTTTAACTTTGGGACCTGGTATCTGTCTAGGAAATTGTCCATTTCTTCCAGGTTTTCCAGTTTTGTTGAGTATAGGCCTTTGTAGTAGGATCTGATGATTTTTTAAATTTCTTCAGTTTCTGTTGTTATGTCTCCCTTTTCAGTTCTGATTTTATTAATTTGGATACTGTCTCTGTGCCCTCGGGTTAATCTGGCTAACGGTTTATCTATCTTATTGATTTTCTCAAAGAACCAACTCCTGGTTTTATTGATATTTTGTATTGTTCTTTCTGTTTCTATTTGGTTGATTTCAGCCCTGAGTTTGATTATTTCCTGTCTTCTACTCCTCCTGGGTGTATTTGCTTCTTTTTGTTCTAGAGCTTTTAGTTGTGCAGTCAACTTGTTAGTGTGTGCTCTTTCCAGTTTCTTTTTGTAGGCACTTAGAGCTATGAGTTTTCCTCTTAGCACTGCCTTCATGGAGTCCCACAAGTTTTGGTATGATGTGTCCTCATTTTCATTGAATTCTAAAAAGTCTTTAATTTCTTTCTTTATTTCTTCCTTGAGCAAGTCATCATTGAGTAGAGAGTTGTTCAGTTTCCATGTGCACGTGGGTTTTCCATTGGTTTTGTCATTATTAAAGACCAGTCTTATTCCGTGGTGATCTGATAAGATGCAAGGAATTATTTCAATCTTTTTGTATCTGTAGAGGCCTGCTTTGTGACCAATTATATGGTCTATTTTGGAGAAGGTACCATGAGGTGCTGAGAAAAAGGTATATTCTTTTGTTTTAGGATGAAATGTTCTATAGATGTCTGTTAAGTCCATTTGGTTCATAACTTCTGTTAATGTCAAAGTGTCTCGGTTTAGTTTCTGTTTCCATGATCTGTCCATTGCTGAGAGTGGGGTGTTGAAATCCCCCACTATTATTGTGTGAGGTGTAATGTGTGTTTTGAGCTTTAGTAAAGTTTCTTTTATGTATGTAGGTGCCCTTGCATTTGGAGCGTAGATGTTCAGAATTGAGAGTTCACCTTGGTAGATTTTTCCTTTGATGAGTATGAAGTGTCCTTCCTTATCTTTTTTGATTAATTTTGGATGAAAGTCGATTTTATTTGATATTAGAATTGCTACTCCAGCTTGTTTCTTGGGACCATTGGCTTGGAAAATTGTTTTCCACCCTTTTATTCCGAGGTAGTGTCTGTCTTTGTCACTGAGGTGCGTTTCTTGTATGCAGCAAAATTCTGGGTCTTCTTTGTGTATCCAGTCTGATAGTCTGGGTCTTTTTATTGGGGAATTGAGACCATTGATGTTAAGAGATATTAAGGAAAAATGATTGTGGCTTCCTGTTATTTTTGCTATTAGAGGTAAAGTTATGTTTGTATAGTTATCTTCTTTTGGGGTTGTTGGAAGATTACTTCCTTGCTTTTTCTAGGTTGTAGTTTCCCTCCTTGTGTTGGCGTTTTCCATCAATTATCCTTTGAAGTGCTGGGTTTGTGGGAAGATATTGTGCAAATTTGGTTTTGTCATGGAATATCTTGGTTTCACCATCTATAGTGATTGAGAGTTTTGCTGGGTATAGTAATCTGGGCTGGCAATTGTGTTCTCTTAGGGTCTGTATGATGTCCGTCCAGGCTCTTCTGGCTTTTATAGTCTCTGGTAAGAAGTCTGGTGTAATTCTTATAGGTCTGCCTTTGTATGTTACTTGACCTTTTTCTCTTACTGCTTTTAGTATTTTTTCTTTGTTTTGTGCATCTGATGTTTTGATTATTATGTGACGGGAGGTATTTCTTTTCTGGTCTATTCTATTTGGTGTTCTGTAGGCTTCTTGTATGTTTATGGGCATCTTGTTCTTTAGGTTAGGGAAGTTCTCCTCAATAATTTTGTTGAAGATATTTACTGTCCCTTTAAGTTGGGACTCTTCATTCTCATCTATACCTATTATCCTTAGGTTTGGCCTTCTCATTGTGTCCTGGATTTCCTGGATGTTTTGAGTTAGGAGTTTTTTGCATTTTGCATTTTCTTTGACAACTGTGTCAATATTTTCTACCGTATCTTCTGCATTTGAGATTCTCTCTTCTATCTCTTGTATTCAGTTGGTGATGCTTGCGTCTATGACTCCTGATCTCTTTCTTAGGTTTTCTATCTCCACGATTGTCTCCCTTTGAGCTTTCTTTATTGTTTCTATTTCCATTTTCAGATCCTGAATGTTTTTGTTTAATTCCTTCTTTGTGTTTTCTTGCATTTCCTTAAGGGATTTCTGTGATTCCTCTTTAAGGGCTTCTATCTGTTTACTTGTACTCTCCTGTATTTCTTTAAGGGAGTTACTTAATTCCTTCTTATAATCCTCTATCATCATCATGAGAAGTGATTTTAATTCTGAATCCTGCTTTTCAGGTGTGATGGGGTGTTCAGGGCTTGCTATATTGGGAGAACTGGGTACTGATGATGCCAAGAAACTTTGGTTTCTGTTGCTTATGTTCTTGCGCTTGCCTTTCGCCATCTGGTTAACTCTAGTGTTGTCTGCCCTCACTGTGTAAGACTGGAGTCTGTATTTCCAGTTATCTTGCTTGTTGCAGAGCTCCTCAGAGTCCAGATGTCTCTGTAGTCTTATGATCCTAATCTTGGTGTCTGCTGCTCTGAGTGCAGTGGCTCCTCTAGGATGACTCAGGAGTCAGTATCTCCACAGGACAGGAGTAGATCAACTCAGTGTCAGCTGCTCTGAGTACAGTGGCTCCTCGGCTGCTGAGTGCAGTGGCTCCTCTAGGATGACTCAGGAGTCAGTATCTCCACAGGACAGGAGCAGACCAACTCTGTGTCTGCCCCAGCCCACAGGACCAGGCAGGGGAGCTCCTGAATTCTTAATATCACACAATCGCAGAAACTATCTGATGCTGGCAAAATGATGTCCCTGCTAGAGCACGAGGCAAATCATAGTCGGCTGCTGTGAACAGTTTGAAGCAGCCTCATATTCCATACTTGGGATTTAAAAAGACCCATATTCTTAAAATCTCTCCCTCTCTCTCTCTCTCTCTCTCTCTCTCTCTCTCTCTCTCTCTCTCTTTCTTTTTCTTTTTTTTTTTTAAAGGAACCAACACTTCCTGATCCTTCCTGAACAGAACTGGGGACCAAACATTCACATATATGAGCCTATAGGGGTTGGGGGGCATTCTCATTCGAAACACCACACTCTATTTGTTATGTGGATGCTGGGATCTGAACTCTGGTCCTCAGACTATGCAGCAAGTGCTTTAAAAAAAAGATTATTTATTTTATGTATATGAGCCCACTGTAGCTGTCTTCATACACACCAGAAGAGGGCATCAGATCCTATTACAGATGGTTGTGAGCCACCATGTGGTTGCTGGAAACTGAACTCAGGACCTCTGGAAGAACAGTCAGTGCTCTTAACCACTGAGCCGTCTCTCCAGTCCACAGCAAGTGCTCCTAATTGCTAAGCTATCTGTCTAGCCCCCCCTACCACCCTTTTGACTTTCTCAAGAGAGAAAGTTAGGAGTCAAATATGGCAGCATGTCTATAATTCCAGCTGTCTAGATGCTGAGGAAGAGCAAGGGCTCAGAGCCAAAGCTATGCGTGGCCTGTTTAAAAAAAAAAAAAGTCAGTGTAAAGGAAGACTTTAAAAGTAGCCCACTGCTGGGCAGTGGTGGCGCACACCTTTAATGCCAGCACTTGGGAGGCAGAGGCAGGCAGATTTCTGAGTTTAAGGCCAGCCTGGTCTACAGAATGAGTTCCAGGACAGCCATGTCTCAAAAAAAAAAAAAAATGCTGACCATGCCATCCTCACCCGTCTCCAGGGCTTCGCCTCTATGTTCTCTAGTCGCACATCCCGGAAGTCAGTCTCTCATCCGGAGTCCGGAGACGCTTCCACCATGGCAGAGGGTGAAGAATACCGTAACCCTACGGAGGTGCAGATGAGCCAGCTGGTGCTGCCCTGCCACACTAACCACCGTGGGGAACTGAGCATTGGACAGTTGCTCAAATGGATCGACACCACAGCCTGCCTATCAGGTGAGGCGGTGCTCCAGGCTCGCCATCGCTCGCCATCACATCCCTACCGCTTGCCCTGTGGAACCTGTGCAGGGGCCTCAGTTTTTAAAGATCATCTCTTTACCCTCTCGTGAATACTGTTTCCCTTCTGGTCTTAGGTCCTGCTGGTCCCCTGCCTCTGTTCATCTAGTTGTCAGGGCAGCCAGTCCCTCTCTGCAAGTTACCCAACCCTGGGTGTTGGTACCATGCAGATGTCCCTGTCTGCTTCTGCTGTGCCCTTAACCACAGCGATTGGCTGGTTGGTAAAGGCCAGACACAGGGGCTGACTGTGAATGCTCACGATCCTTTCCGTGTCCAGCCTCTAGGATCTAACAGTGACTTGGCCACACTAGCAGAGGTTGAGAGGCCCTGAGGCAGCTGTGGGATCAGGGAAAGGGCTCCAGAGCAGACCCAGGGCTGAAGCAAGGAAGCAGAAGTGGAAGAAGGGTGGGAACTTTTCATGGAGAAGCCTCTGGAAGATACTTGGTCAGAGGCCTGTGTGACACGAGGAGGCTGCTAACATCTGGCTTTCTTCTCCTGAGGCAGCAGAGAGGCATGCTGGCTGCCCCTGTGTCACAGCCTCCATGGATGACATCTACTTCGACCATACCATTAGGTAAGTGGCCCTCTGGTTTGATTACTATCTTGGTCTCTCTCTACTCATCAGCCAAGAGCCTGCACCCCCATCCCCCCACCTACCAGACTGTGTAGCACTTGGAGCTGACTCAGTTGATTGGAAGCATGGTATCTTGGGGGTGGAACATCTTTCTGCAGGCATGTGGGACAGCAGTGGGTTAGGCATGGCCTTTTGCTTTGTGCCATATGATGGACTTTCTTGTCAGGGTGAGGCCAGGGAAGTTGCCGCAGGTTTGCAGTTAAAGGCTCCTGTGGTAGAGGAGGCCTAAGGCCAGGCTGTGGAAATATACAGAGCCAGCAGCTTGGGTGTCTGTGTGTCATGTGGTGCTCTGTGACACTGGTAAGTCAGGTTCTCTCTCTGGGTCTTGTTTCCTTACCTGTGAAGTGAAAGGACTTGAATTTGGTCAGGAAATAGCTCTTTTAGCTCAGACATTTGTTCATAGGTTCCTGGTCACCGGACTATAGGGAGTGTAGTGGAACTGTCTCTGAGGCTCCAGCCCCTAATAATGACTCGTTGACTTTTAAATGGCAGACTCTCAACTGGCTCATCTCAGTAAACGTGATCATCTAGCAGTGTCCCGCCATGTGGCTTGTTAGTTCTTTCTCCTCCAGTCTTCTGACTCTTTCCCAGAGTTCCTATCTCTGCCTGGGTTTTCCGCCTGTCCTCCCCTGCTTTGCTATAGGCTGTTCACCTCCTTATTAAACCATTCAGAAGGTGTTGGAGAAGATGTTTACGAAGACATTACATAGCACACAAGAGATTATTCCAAAGGGAGACCCCCTGACAAGGCACTGAGGTCGCTCTAGAAGAGTGAGCCAGCCACCAGTGGTCCACCCCTCTCCAGCTCTTACTTGGGGATATCTTTACTTTTCAGTGGCTGTACAGGTTCCCTCACATGCTTTGCTATTGAGCCTCATCAGGCTGGGACACTAGAAGGCTGCTGAGCTGTTGGCCCAGGACAGGCCTTACATAGAGCTCTTGCTGCCAACCCACACCTAGATATGCCATCCATACACAGGATGTCAAATGCCAAGGCCTTATTCAGGGCTGCCTGGTGCCCTGTGTGTGACTAATACGGAAGAATGTCAGCTGGTCCCTGTATTCGTCACTTGTTCACTACATATTCAGTATTAGTTAACGGACTGGCTAGTTTTATGTCAACTTGACCCAAGCTGTCATTTGGGAAGAAGGAACCTCAATTGAGAAAATGCCCCTGTCAGATTGAACAGTGGGACATTTTCTTGATTAATGATTGATGTGGGAAGACCCAGCCCACTCCTGTGATGGCACTCTGGGAAAATAGTCCTAGGCCGTATAAGAAAGCAGGCTTAGCAAGCCATGGGGGGCAAGCCAGTAAGCAGCATCCTCCATGACCTTGGCTTTAGTGTCTGTCCCCAGGTCCTTGCCCTCTCTTGGATAATGAGTGAAATAAACCCTTTCCTCTCCAAGTTGCTTTTGGTCATGGTGTTTCATCACGCAGTTGAAACCTAGTTAAGGGCTGGAGAGATGGCTCAGAAGTTAAGAGCACTGACTGTTTTTCCAAAGGTCTTGAGTTCAATTTTCACTAAGCACACAGTGGCTCACAACTCTCTGTAATGGGATCTGATGCCCTCTTCTGGTGTGTCTGAAGAAAGCAACAGTGTACTCACATACATAAAGTAAGTAAATAATTCCTTTAAAAAAGGAAAGAAAGAAAACCTAGTTAAGATAGTTCAGAGCCTTAACTAATCCGGAAAGCATTGGTGGCATGCTAGGTTTGCAGACACAAGCAGCCAGAACATAGTCTTCATGCCCTCTACCCAGTCTGCAGAGGAACAGATATAGAAATGTCATTTGCATTTGCAGTGGGAAGTTGGGGGTTGAAGTGTGGCTCAGTAGCAGAGCATGTGTTCAGCATGCAGAGCCCTGGGTTCGATTCCCACCACCACCACAGCAGAGACAGTGAGCTCTGGTAAGCTGCTGAGTTGTCTTTATTTTGCTATTTATCCCTCAGTTCTGGGGATCCATCCCAGCTCTTGAATCAGTTTGATAAAAAGACTTGACAGAAAGGCTTTATCCCTGAAGGCAGTACTGAGTTCCCCTCTCATTAATGTCTTACACTTGTATTTTATCAATATGTTGATTAGAATAACCTTTTAGCTTGTTGACATATTAATAACGAAAGCTACAGTATGAGGTCTTTGTTGTTAATATCTTCACTTTACAGAGGAGAAACTGGGGCACAGAGAAGTGAGGAAACTTTCTAAGGTCACACAGCAGGTGAAGGACACAGAATTACCAACAGGAGGCCGACTGGCCGTAGGGTCCTTGCTTTTTATCAGTGGGCTTCATGGGGTTGAAGTGCTGGGCAGGGCCTCCAGGACACTTCCTGGCATGGTCTGAGCTGGCTGGAGGGCTGTGAGCCTTGTGCTTTGGTGGCTGTGACACTGTATCTGGGAAGCATGGAGAGGGCTAGCGTGCTTATGTGGAGGGTGGACCTGCTGCTGCAGGGCCAGAGGGTGACCCTGAGTCTGGGCAGGGGAACAGAAGGAGGGCACATTGTACGGAGCCTGGAGCGTATTAATGACTAGGATAGGCCTGGCAGCACCTGAACAGTTACAGGTTTACCTTTGTTTGTTTTAGGTTTTGCTATTTAAAAATATTTCAGGCCAGGTGTGGTGGGGCACACTGATAGGCTTAGCACTTGAGAGACTGAGACAGGGGCATTGCTGTGAGTGTGATTCAAAATTGACTGGGTTTATATAACACAATAAAATTCTGTCTCGAGAATAACCTCCAAATAAACACACTAGTTTAATTAAATAAAACATTTCAAGAGATTCCCATATCTGGAATACCATTACTTAGGAGCTTAGGCAGGGTATCCTGAGTTCAAGGTCAGCCTGGGCCCTGTCTCAAACTGTAGAAGACAAAGTGAAATATTTCCAAACATATCTGGAAGGACTAAGAACTAATTTTATACAACTTCCACATGATTATCACACCTGAAAAATGGCCAGTTATTTTTCCCCACCAGTGCTGTACTGTTGGCATGTGACCACACCGACTTGTGAGCTTGTTTTGCTGTGTTGTTATTTTTTATTATTCTAATAAGGCTGGAAATAAGTTTGCAAATCAACTGAGTCTTCTAAAGCTCGTAACTCCTAACCTCTCACCTCCAGTCAGCTCTCTTGAAGGGGACTATGTACCCTCTCTCTTTCCCTCCTCCCTTCTTCCCTCCTTCCCTCCCTCCTTCCCTCTCCCTTCTTTCCTTCTTCCTCCTTCAGCGCACTGTAACTGAGTCACCCCCAGCTCTCTTCTTCTTCTTCTTTTTTTTTTTTAAAAGACTTATTTTATTATTTCAAGTTATTTACCTGAACTGGGCAGTGGTGGTGGTGCACGCCATAAATCCCAGCACTCAGGCGGCAGAGACAGATGGATCTTTGAGTTCCAGGTCAGCCTGGTCTGCTGAGTTCCAGGACATTCAGGGTGTTCTTTCTCTCCCTCGCCCTCTTCCTCCCCCGTGTGTGTGTGTATGTGTGTGTGTGTCTGTGTGTGTTTGTGTGTGTGTGTGTGTGTGGTGTGTGTGTGTGTGTGTGTGTGTGTGTGTACAGATGCCTGTGGAGGCCAGAGGCATTCGATGGTTTCTGGAGCTGAATCTATAGGCAGTTGTGACCCACTGGACATGGGCACTGGGAGCTAAACTTAAACCTTCTGCAAGGGCAGTATATGCTCTTAACTACTAAGCCATTTCTCCAGTCCCCTCAGATCCCTTTTAACACCACGGAAAGATTTTAATCAGCAATCCCCCTGCCCCATTCCCTGTGAGGAATCTATTCCCAGATCTCTGATGAGTGCCTAGGACCCTGTCTGGCACCAGTCCCTATATAGACCATGATGTCTCCTATAGGTTCACAGCCATGGTAAAGCTTAGTTCAAAATTAGGTGCAATGAGGCTTGATCAAAAAAGGCTAAGCCATGCCTGGTGGCACGAGCCTGTAATTTCAGCTACTCAAAGCCTAGGGGAGTTGGATCGTGAATTCAAGACCAGTATGAGCTAGAGTGAGTTCTAGGTCAATCAGAGCAGCTTAGTGAGACCATGTCTCAACATTAAAGTAAAAAAAAAAAAAAAAAAAAAAAAAAAGCACAGGCGACTCATCTTAGTGGTAGAGTACTTGCCGGAGGCACTAGGATCAGTCCTGTTCTGAGGTGGCAGAAGGGAGGCTGATAGCGAAAATGATCAATTGTAACAATACGCCTTAATAAACACTGCAATCTTTGAAGTGATTCTTCTCTAGCAATTATAAAAATATACTTTCATAAACATTAAAATCTCTGGAATTGCCTATTGTCGGGTCATGTCTACCCTACCACTGGGCACGGCCTCTTGGGGAGGTGGAATTTGGGGAGTTTGACTGTGCTTACCCCACCTGCCAGACCGGGTGCCCGGCTGTAGGGAAGCACAGCTCACTGCTCCAGGGGTGGGAAAGCCAGAGGTGGAAAAGCCAGAGGCACTTGGGCTGGAGACAGCATCTAATACAGGGAGGGGGGCTTAGCTTGGTGGAGACAGACTTGGTGACCACTGGGGCTGGGAGCACAGAGAGAGGCCTTCTCTGGGAAAGTAAAGCTGCAGCTCTGTAGACAAAGGCCTTCCCTGGGTTCCTCATGGTGGATCTTGACAAAAAGAGGCAGTCCATGGGCCTAAACCATGTTTATTGGTTGTTCGTGGTGGAAAATGTATATACATAATCTACCATACCCAACTTCTCAGGGTGGGCCTGAGATTAAATACCTTTTGCAGGGAGGAATATCTGGGAAGGAAAGCTTATTGACTACGCCCTCCGGGCCTCTAGGTACATCATTAGCATGGAAAACTCTGTTTAGGGCCTACATGACCATAGGATATGTTTCTTTTATGTGAGGAGCATGGCACGTGTGTTCCAAGTCAGGAGTCTGACAGGGAGCTGGGAGGGAGAGTCAGGTGTGTGCCCACTGAGTCTCTGGGTCTCCACCTGCTCTACCTTACCAAACTTCCTGGCATGATTTTACGTCCCACAACCTGTGTCCTCTAAAACTTTTTATTAATTTTATGTGTGTGAGTGTCCTGCCTTTATGTGTGTCTGTGTACCACACGTGTAGCATCCACAGAGGCCAGAAGAGGGCTTCAGATTCCCTGGAACTGGAGTTACAGATGATTCTAAGTTGCCACATGGGATCTGGACTTGAACCCAGGTAGTCTGGAAAAGCAGCAAATGCTCTTATCCACGGAGCCATCTCTCCAGCCCTCTTTCCTAACTCTTGATCATGAGAACTTCCAAACACCGGGCGGTGGTGGCGCACGCCTTTAATCCCAGCACTCGGGAGGCAGAGGCAGGCGGATTTCTGAGTTCGGGGACAGCTTGGTCCACAGAGTGAGTTCCAGGACAGCCAGGGCTATACAGAGAAACCCTGTCTCGAAAAAAAAAAAAAAAAAAGAAAAGAAAAGAAAAGAAAAGAAAACTTCCAAAGGCATGGGACTGTAGAATGTGTCACTGTTGCCCGGATCTGATAGCTCCTGCTTCGCTGCTGTGCTTTATATCTATACAGGGATAAATGCATGTAAGAATGCAACGCACAGATGGCACCTCTCTGCCCGAGTGTCATATTGCTGAAAACATAGGCAGAAGTGAAGTGTCCCACATTGTGAGCAGAAGTCACTCACCGAGCCCCTGCACTGATTAGTCAAGTGTTGGGTTGAATCACCTTACCCTTCACTGGGCTGTCCCCATGCGTTCCCAGAGCTATACACACAAGGACACAGACTCAGAGGTGAGATGACTTACTCCAAGTCACCAGTTTGTGGTGTGACAATTGAAGCAGAGCATGACAAACCTAGTCTTGTGTGGCCACACTATGGCCTTGTGACTGGCATGCCCCTTGGGAGGGACCCTTCCGAGCTTTGCTGGCTTGCAGTGTACGCTGCATGTTCACGAGCCACGGTGCAGAGGGGTGAAGGACTTCTTGAGGTCACAGTGATTGAACTCGGCCAGATGTCTAGCCTTTTGCCCTCCTCACCCTGACAGCCCATCAGCTGGCCACACTCTGGGCACAGGGCAAGCTAGGTGGCTCCCAGGAGATTTGTGTGGACATGGGAAACATTCCCAGAAGAACAGGCTTCACCTAGGAAGAACTGGGCTGGTTCTGTCAACAGAGCCCATTGAGAATCCTTGCCTTGACGCAAGTTAGTTGGGTGACCTTGTTAGCTGGGTGACTTTGGAGAAATGCTTAGCCTCTCTGACGTTCACTCCCCTGTTAACCTGTCTCCAAGTTTGTTTTAAGATTCAAATGTAGAAATGCACACATAGCAGTTTTAAGTGTCCTATATCCCTGCCCACGTCTCTCTCCAGCCATCGGCACTTGGCAAGCATTTGGTAAATGTAAGTGTATATTGCTTCAGTCAGTCACTGTTTATGGAGGTCTCACCCTGCCTCGTGTGCTCGGTGTGATGAACAAAGCATACACTCCCTGGGCTGGGCTAGGACTCACAGTAGAGCATGTGGCCACACACCCTGAACAGGCTCTGGCTTTCATGAACCATAAATGAATCAGAAGAGAGAACAAAAGCCAGGGGCTTTGGCCCAGTGCAGTTTAAAGGCTTAGGAGGCAGAGGTCATACTCCAGGGGGAGTGCTGGAGGGTGAGCTCTGGACACTAGAGGATAGGAGGCTGTCCCAGGGAGGGAGATGTAGAGCAAAAAGAGGACTCTGGCTCTTGGACTGGGGGTGGGTGGTGTGGAAATTAGCTGCCTGTGGAAGCTCTGATTTGCCATCTATGGAACGAGTGCTCATGTTGTCTGCTGGCTTGGTGATATTGCAGTTGTCTATGTTCTGGGAGTCTTGAAGTACTCTTGCCGGTCCTCCTCCCCTTGCTGAGGTGTGGGCATCTGAGGAGCCTGTCTCTCCCTTGGTTTCTCTGGAAGGCTTACCTCCTGCTTTCCTCTCCTCAGTGTCGGCCAAGTGGTGAATATCAAGGCCAAGGTGAACCGGGCCTTCAACTCCAGCATGGAGGTGTGTGTGGCTGGCCCTGCCTGGGGGTGGGATGGCTTTCCTGTTCTGCTCTGTCTTTCAGGATCCAAGCCCAAGCCCCCTCACACTGAAGGACTCTGACCAGAGTTCCAAGATGGCTGGCTGGGACAGGAGGACCCTAAGGCCTTCTTTGCTAATATCCCATAGCACAAGAGGGAACATGGAGGCCAGGGTGGGCAGGAGGCAGACTCAGGGCTTATACTTCCGGTCAGGCACATTCAGTAGCTGGTGTGAAGGCCGAGGAAGGCAGTGCTGTGTCTGGTCATGGTGCTGCATTGGGAGAGACTGGACTTTGCCCATTAGTTCACCTGGATGGCCTCTGTTTCCACATCTATATGGTGGGCCCATGACTCCTGCACTCAGGAAGTTCAGTGGGAGGATGGCTTTGTGAGCTACTGAGGACTTCATTTCTTCTCCTGGGCTTGATTTAGGTTCTGTAATCTAGCGAGCCATTGATTCCTGAGAGCCCCAGAGGCTGGGGTAACAGTCCTGACTGTGCTTCCGGGCATCGCATAAATGTACCCACAGGTCTGACCTTTCAGTATCAGTAATACACATGGGTGCATTTGAACCCTTTAAGTAATCCCTCGAGGGCAGTTGTGACCACTCCCGTTCCAGAGATGAGGAAACAGATCCAGATGAGGGAAGTGAATTGCCCAAGATTTTCCTGGGAACCAGAGACAGAGTCAGAACCAACTCTAGGTCCCTGGCGTCCCGTACCTGGTAGGTGATGTAGAAACTCCAGAGGCCCAGCCTGGGTGGCTCTTCAGCCTCACTAAAGCTGCAGCCCTTCAGTAATATCTTCCTGTCTTCCTTCCTCCCATGGCCCTCGCCCTCTGCAGGTGGGAATCCAGGTGGTCTCTGAAGATCTGTGCTCTGAAAAGCAGTGGAGTGTCTGCAAGGCCTTGGCCACCTTTGTGGCCCACGGGGAGCTCTCCAAGGTAGATAGCTGTCCCAGATGCTCTGCCACACCCACATTACCCCGAGCGGGACCCTCTGTGGTCCCGCCCAGGAGCCTGCTCCTTTCTCCATCTCTTCTTGCACTTAAATGTCTTCAGAACACTGTGTTCTAAACAGACCCCCTCTATTTCCTGGGCCTCTGCCCAAGAAGGGATCTTGGGGGACATTTAGAGAGAACTATGCCCTGTTGGGTTACAATGGAGACAAGAAGATGGGCACAGTGCCGGGCGGTGGTGGCACATGCCTTTAATCCCAGCACTTGGGAGGCAGAGGCAGGCAGATTTCTGAGTTCGAGGCCAGCCTGGACTACAGAGTGAGTTCCAGGACAGCCAAGGCTACACAGAGAAACCCTGTCTTGAAAAAAAAAAACAAAACAAAAAACAAACAAACAAACAAACAAAAAGGTGGGCACAGAGGGGAGAGGTCCCTGGAGCTTCTCTCCCACAGCAGTCCAGGCCCACTAGGTGCCAGCTTCAGGCAGCAGGACACTGTGCTCTCTCAGGAAGCTTGTGCACCTTGTCTTTCGGCCAACAGGTGAAGCTGAAGCAGGTTATCCCATTGACAGAGGAGGAGAAGACTGAGCATGGGGTGGCGGCTGAACGCCGGCGTATGCGACTGGTCTACGCAGACACCATCAAGGATCTCCTAGCCCACTGTGCCAAGCAGGATGGTATGTGCCTAAGAGTGCAGCCCGGTGTACCCAGGAGGGAAGCTGGTATCCTCACACCCACTTTGAATGGAAGGAGGAAGGGATCATACTATGGACCTCTGTCTCTGGTAGCTTCAGGCCGTTCTGGCCTCCTTGGCCTCACGATCCCCTCCAGGGAAAGCAGGTACTAGAGCCACTCACTCATATCCCAGAAGTGGCGGAGATGGAGTGGGGTCTTACAGAAATCTAATCTCTGTCAATCATCATGTCCGTAGGCCTCTAGGAGAGATGGCGTGTGTGAAGACAGGATTGAGCTAGGCTTTGAAGACATGTAGGAATTTTAAAAAGCATCTGTGGTGTGTGTGTGTGTGTGTATGTGTGTGTGTGTGTGTGTGTGTGTGTATGTATGTATGTTTTCTTTTTTTCCCAAGAAAAATAAAAAGATAAAAAGCAAGTTGCCCTCCATGCTGTCTCCCTCCTGGAGCTCAGGCCATCTCCCCAGAGGCAAAGGATGCTACCTGCCTTTCAGTATGTGTGAAGGTTCTTTCTGTAGATTTATGCAGAGTGTATGTTATTTAGTTCCCTATTTTACCCTGAAGGGAACACATGGGACACATTGTTCTGTATCTTGATCTTGATTTTTTCCCCCTCTTGATGGTTGTTCTCTTGAAGGTGCAGGCTGACCTGTCTGCCTTGGACTGGGTCTGGTTTTGGCAGGTGGTGAGGTGAGGAATGTGTTCTACAGAGAATGAAGGCCCCAGGGGTAGGAACAGGGACCCTGGGGTTCTTTGTCCATCTCCGAGTTCTTGTGTGAGGTCTTTCTTAGCAATGAAACTGAAGGAGCCAGTTTTCAGACAAATAAAAAGTAATTCAGCTAACCAAAGTGACACTCACCAGTAATCTTAGCACTCTGGAGGTTGAGGCAGGAGGATCATGAGTTAGAGGCCAGCCTTGATTACATATGAAGCTCACGGCCACCCTGGGATACATAGTGAGATCCCGTCTCAAAACAAACAAAGAAAAGCTGGTGTTGGCTGGGCACAGTGGAGCACATCGGCAGTTCCTTCAATGACATAGGAGGCTGAGGCAGGAGGATCAGGAGTTCGAGACCACCCTGAGCCTTGCTGTATTGGGCTTAGAGGATGGCTGGAGGGAGCCCAGATCTTCCAGTCAGTTCCATGGATGTGTCCATTCCATCACTGCCCTCTCAAACCCCTCCTTTGTAGACATTCTGCCTCCAAGGATCAGTCTAGATACCTCTGCCTGGCATGCAGGCCACAGACTAATGCTTCAGCCCAATGTGTGTGCTCCCTCAGCTTAGCCAAAGGCCTTGCATCTGCCAGCACCTACTCTGGACATGGGCTTAGATCATTTTCAGCTTCTGCTTCCCTGTCCTACCTCTCCTGTGACATCTCACAGGGCCCTTCACCTGAGTGAATGTCATCTTTCTGCCAGGTGCTCTGTGGAGAACTTTCCTAGGATTCTGGAGACACAAGACAAGCACCTGGGTTTCAGTTGGCCTTGTTGACATCAGCTTCCTATATCTCTGAGGCCATGTTTGCTCATTCGTCTGTCTTACTCTTGGTATCCTGATGGCACTAAAGGAATGGGGAACTGGTCAGGGCAGTGGGTAGCAAGGACTGTCCTGAGAGTTTAGCCACTGGCTATGAGCTGAGCACACTACAGCCACAACCATCCCTCGTGGACATTCAGTCCTGTGTGGCTGGGGCTGACACTTGCTCCTTACACATGGGTGTCTGAGAGCCAGTGGTTGGCTTGATGTATCCAGTGTCATACAGCCTGTGTTCCTGGAGCAGGGGTTGGCTCAGGCTTGCCATGTCTCAGAGCTGCGCTGTCTGCTGCCTTGTGGCAGGCTGATGTCCTTCCTCCCAAGCCTCTCATTCTTTTCCCAGGACCAGTCTAGACCTTGTGATCACTTGGGGGTAGTAAATTAATGTTTCAGGGGGCCTTCCATGGACAATCTATCCGTAGGAACCCTCTCATCTGCTTGCTGTCCTCCCGGACCAGATCTGGACAAGGACTTCAGCAATATAGTGCCAGCTGAGAAGACCCGAGTGGAGAGTGTGGAGCTGGTGCTGCCTCCTCACGCCAATCATCAGGGCAATACCTTTGGGGGCCAGATCATGGCCTGGATGGAAAACGTGGCCACCATTGCAGCCAGGTGAGACAACCTCTGTTTGCCTTCTCTCCTGTTTCCAGAGGGCGTTTTTTTGGCAAGAGAAATCCTTGCTGGTATCAGCACTTAAAGCTCCAGAAGCTTGGGTGTTCTGCTAGGATAACCCTGGATTTCCATACCTATAGAGCCAGAGAGGAGCCGTTTCTGTGAGCTGGCCATGCTTCTTTCTTCTACCCACCCATTAACACATTCCTTGTAGCCGCTAGGAGTCTCCATAGCAGACTGACCCTGAAGCCTCCCCTTGATCTGCCTTTACCTGAACTCCCGTAGTAACTGCTTCCTCAGGCTCTCTTCCTCCTCACCTTTTCCCGCCCCCAATTTTGCCCCCCCCCCCCCCGTGTGACCTCCTACGGCTCAGCAAACTGCCCAGCCCCACCATAAAGCCACCTCAGACTGATGCCTCTTTCTAGTGGCAAAAGTAAGTTCTTCCTCCTATAGCTCCTGTGCAGGACTGTGGTTCCTGGTACTCTAGATGTCAGGGATTAAAAAAAAAAAAAAAAAGAAAAAAAAGAAAGGTTAACTGGGCAGTAGTGGTACACGCCTTTAATCCCAGTACTTGGGAGGCAGAGGCAGGTGGATTTCTGAGTTTGAGGCTTGGAGGCTAGCCTGGTCTTCAGGACAGGAGAGTTCTAGGACAGCCAGGGTTTCACAGACTGGTGGTCCAGACTGGACACCTTGAGCCTCGTGACTTTGCTCTTGTTGCTCTCTCAGCACGCCATAACCCACTCCACTAGGCCGGTTTTCATTCTTAGGGCCCAGCCCAGCCCAGCTCTCCTCTGAGGTTAAGCTGAAGGTAGTGTCCAAGCAATAACATTTGCAAAACCTGGCCTAGGAGTGTGCGGAGACCTGAGGAGGTCCAGGATCTGGATGATCAGGGAAAGCTTCCTGGTGGAGGAGGGCCTCATTAGGGCCTCCAGCGACAAGAAGCTTTTCAGGAGGGATGGGTTTCAAGGTATCAGGGAACATAGATACCAAGACAAGAATGCCAAGAGAAGGAGGGGAAGGGGTTTGCTTTAGAACATACTCTATGCTTGCTTTCTTCTGGCCTCAAACTCAGCGCCTCTCTAGCCACGCACAGTGGCTTCGGCACATTCCAGGGCTGGGCCAGAGGACCAGTTCTGTGGTCCAGTATGGTTTACAGGCTAGGTACTAGAGAAAGCTGGCCCAACCACCTTAATGCAGTATGGGCCATTTCCCTTATCTCCCCGTTCTTCCCTGTAGCCGGCTCTGTCATGCCCACCCTACCCTCAAGGCCATCGAGATGTTCCATTTCAGAGGCCCATCTCAGGTGGGGGACCGTCTGGTGCTCAAGGCCATCGTGAATAACGCCTTCAAGCACAGGTGAGGGGTTGGGATGGGTGGGACTGGGCCACCGAGGGTTGGGGGTTCTTCCTGATCTTAGAAATCACCTAATTCAAACCTGCCAAGCCTTTCCGCGGCTGATGAGGTCTGAAATACTAGGCTGTTTATATGGGCCAAGTTTAGCTAGTGTTCCTTCTTCTGGAATGTTCTATGACTCCAACTGTTGTACTATGGTGGGACTGGAGTCTTCTTTAAGTTTTCTGTAGATGCTGTGCCTCCCACTGACTGGGAAGCTGCCCTGTGCTTGTGAGCTCCGTCTCTCCCTGCTTGGCTGGAGGACTGAGCTCTGGAGTTGCAGAGGTCACAGGGCCTCTTCTGTTTCTCAGATCCTTTCCTGCCCATGTCCTAAAACAGGTATTCTACCATGTCACCTTGGAATGAGTTCTGAGGTCTCTTCCCACCACAGCAGGCTTTAGCTAAGGGGTATTTCTGAGAACTTAGTGTGCTCATTTATGATGAAGGGCAATCTGGAGCTGGGCAGCCTGGGTTCAAGTTTGTTGTCAATTCTCACAGTCTTTGAGCAAGTTCGTTAATGTCTCTGAGCATCCGTTCTTTAACATATACAATGCTCGCACAGCCCTCTCACAGCTGTGAGGATTGGCGGAGGTGTTACTAGAAGAAAGCCAGAGAGACTGTCCAGGGAGGGTCAGTGACTGTACTGCGGAGCTTCTTGCTACAACTGCTGCTATTTGCAACTCCATCAGTCGACGTCCTGCCTCTCTCAGGACCCTCCCAGGCTGGGTTCTTCTCCAGCTTCTCTTCCTGCCTCATTCTGAGACTTGGTAGTTGGTTCCCTCTTTCTCTAAGGCCCACCTCTCACAGCTGTAGGACTTCCTGGCTTTGCTTATGTTGGACAAATGCTCTACTATATCCTTGGCCCCCTTTCCAGCTTTTATTATGTTTTCTAGTTTTAAAAATTGCATGTGTGCCTGGTGGTGGTGGAACACATCTTTCTTAACTCAGAAGGCAGAAGCAGGCAAATCTCTGTGTTTGAGACCAGCCTGGTCTACAGAGAGACAGTTCTAGGATAACCAGGGACACAGGGAAACCCTGTCCTAGAAAAAAAAATGTAAACTGGGCATGGTGGCTCACACCTTTAATCCCATCACTCTAGAGGCAGAGGCAGCAGGATCTCTGAGTTCAAGGCTAGTGATCCTGAGTTCCAGGACAGCCAGAGCTACATAGTGAGACCCTGTCTCAAAAAACAAAACAACAACAAAATGTACATGCATATGTGTGGGTGTTTGTGTAGGTGTGTATGAAGGTATAGGAGGTCTTGGAAGCTGGAAGATAACTATTCTCAGGCACCATCCACCGTATTTCGCAGTGGAGTTTTTCTCATTGGCCTGGAGCTTGCCACGGTTAGGCTGGTTGTCAGCAAGCCCCATGGATACTCCTTTCTCCGTGTCCCCAGGGCTGAGACTATAAGTGTGCGCTACCATGCTTGGCTTTAGATGGTCCTTGAGATTGAACTTGGGTCCTTCTAATTGTACTTTACAAGTTAAGCAATCTCCTCAGTCATTATTATGATTATTACTATTATTATTTTGAATTTTGAGATGGAATTTTACTCTGTTACTCAGGTTGGCCTTCAACTCATGTCTCAGTATCTCCAGTGCTGAGATTACTAGCACATGTCAGTACGCCTGGCTTCCTTTGTAATTTTTACTGGTTTAATTTAAAAAAATTACATTTATATGTATTTACTGTACATGTGGTGTGTATGTGTGTGTATGTGTGTGTGTGTGTGTGTGTGTGTGTGTGTGTGTCGGGCAGTATATGTCAGAGTGCGCCCACCTACTCTTACTATACGTCTCTGGGATCAAACTCAAGTTGTCAGACTTGGCAGCAAATGCCTTTCCTGCTGGGCCATCTTGCCTTCCCTTTGATGACTTTTGGGTATCTTTGCTTTCTTGCTTTGTTGCTTTTCTGGGCTGTTAGCTGGAAGCCTGGCTGGACAGGTTCATCTGTGAGGTGACTGAGGAGGACAGATATGGTTCTGGCCATTTGGGTCCAGTTATTGGAAGAACTGCAGGGGAGTGTGTGCACACTGTGTGCACCTGCCTGCCTGTGTGTGTACTTGTGTGTGAGTGTGTGTGACGTGGAAGGGCATGGCTTGGGAAAGGTCTGTGGAGCCTGACTCCCTCTTCCATTTGGCCTTAGCATGGAGGTGGGTGTGTGTGTGGAGGCTTATCGCCAGGAGGCTGAGACCCAGCGCCGGCACATCAACAGCGCCTTCATGACTTTTGTGGTCCTGGATAAAGATGACCAGCCTCAGAAGCTGCCCTGGATTCGTCCCCAGCCTGGGGTGAGTGTCTTATTCCCAAGTTTCCTCACTGTGTGACAATCCCATCCCCAGCTCTGTGCTGAGGTACAACCAGATCGGAGCGTCCTGGTTTCACCCAGGGATTCCCCTGTGAAGCTGGGTACCCGCTCTGCCTGCCAGAACCAGAACATACATACATACCACGGGGGTTGGCTGATGTTGGAGGATCATGGACCTGAACAGCCTGGATGATTGCAGAGACCCCTGGTTTGGGCACCAAAGGCTGGTTGGGCCTCACCCCTGAGGCATTCTTGGACTTATATCTCTGAGGGTTTCAGTCCTTATCTGTGTAATTAGTGTGTCTGCGACTTCTGCCTTCTGAGTTGTGGCTTCGGGGAACCAACTGGCTGCATAGCCTTGGAGCCTTTGAGAAGTGGTGACAGTTACCTTATGGAGACAGGGGCAAGGGCACAGAAATGACTGGGTTCTGTGTCTGTGGAGACACCCTCTTGGCTAGTTGCTGTCTTTGTGTTTTTGAATGGGGGTGAGGCTGTAAAGGAATGGGAAGGAGGTGGACTCTGCCCTTCTGAGTTCTGACCCTGGTCTCACCCCGTATTCCTATGACCTTGTGGGGATCATTCAACCCCCTGAGCCCCAGTTTCCTCCTGTGTAAACTGGGACTCGAAGGTCCTAGGGTGAGAAACATGCAACAGAAAATAGGCATGGTCTTAAGCAGAACCCTTGTTAGGAACTCATTCCCAGTAAGCGCCTAGTGAGTATGGTCCTGGACACCGCTGTGAGGTTCTTTTATCATCTACATTGGGGGAAACTGAGGCCTACAAGGAGGGCAGTGTCCAAGGTCACCAAAGGCTCTATGCAGAGCTAAGTTACAGCTTAGGGGCTCTGGAGCTTTCTCAGTAAGGGGATTTTGACACTTGCTGCCCTAACAAGATCTAAGCTTCTCTAGGGACTGCCAGGTCCTTTGGCTCCAGGGACAGGGATGGCAGAGCTATGGGTTAGCTGGTCATCCCATCTGGACCACAACATGTCCCTGCTTCCTTCCTAGGAGGGTGAACGGCGATACCAAGAGGCCAGCGCCAGGAAGAAGATCCGCCTGGACAGGTGAGTAGGGCAGGGCAGTGGGAGGGACGTGCTTGGGCTGGTCTCCACCTGCTGGCCCGAGACAGTCTGCAGGAATCCTCCTGGACTCTGTACTAGGCTGTCTTTTCTCATTCTCCTTTTTAAATATTATTTTTGTTTTGAGTCATGGTCTCACACTGTAGCCCTGTAGCCCAGGCTGGGCTGGAATGCTCTAAGTAGTTCCGGCTGGTCTTGAACTCTTAGGATTCTCCTTGCCTCTGTCATCTGAGCTGGCCCTTTGCATCTGCATAGTCTTGCTTCAGCATCTTACAGCTCTTCTAGACACCAAGACACTGAGGACAGAAAGTAGATCTCTTGTCCTGAGGACACACGGTTGAGTGAGATCGTTGGTCCTGGCTTAGTCTGGATGATTTTTGCTCATTTACTGAGTCCTGTCTGTTTGGCCATGAAAAGGTCAAATCTCTGCACAGGGGAGAATGAGGTAGAGAGTTGCTACAAGTTCAAGGCTAACCTGGACTACATAGAGATACCCATCTCAAGCAAAACAAATCAATTAAAACAAAACAGAAAGGCTTAAAGCCCAGATCCAATGGTTCAAGACATATAAACTGGTAAATCTGGGCACCCAGTAAAGCATCTTATAGACCGTAGTGTATTGTGGATACATCCAGGCTCATACATTGTTATTAATAAGAAACATTTTCATTTCTGGGACATCTATCATACGCTAAGAACTGTGTTCCTTGCAAAGCCCCTTGGAGGTAGAGAAGACATGGATTCCATTCCAAAGAGAACACTGAGGAGTGCCATGGGTGACGGGGGAGCCTGGGCTTGTCTCTTTTCCTCTCCAGTCCCCTGTGAACCTCCTAGAGTGCTAGCTGAACCCCCTTTCTCAGATGCTGTTTTCTGTGTGCCAGTGTGCCCACTGCCCTGCCAGGCAGAGTCTCCAACCCCACTGGCCTGCCAATGCTGTATGCCAAACACAGTGGACTCTGAGAGACCCAGATTGTCCTCTTTCCTCTCAGGAAGTACCTTGTGTCCTGTAAGCAGACGGAAGTGGCTCTGTCTGTCCCCTGGGACCCTAGTAACCAGGTAAATCTCTCTGTTTCAAAGCCCACTGAACCCCTTTGCTTTCCTTTGGCCAGAACAGTTTTGGAGGAAAGTTTGCTGGTCCAGGGCCATGGAGACCCCTCTGCCCTGCTCCGTGATTGTTATTCACACACACAAGAGTGCGTGTGTCTCCTGTTTTTGCAAGATGGTGTGGCTGCTCGGGGCTGTGTGTAGGGCTTGAGGGAGCCTGGATCCCCTTTCCCAAAGCCCAGCTCCTTTCCCCATATCTGTACAGGGACCCCTGGGGCAGGAGAAGGTAGCATTTGTATATTCTTCTCAGGTGTACCTGAGCTATTACAACGTGTCCTCTCTGAAGACGCTCGTGGCCAAGGACAACTGGGTGCTGTCCGTGGAGATGGGTGAGGTAACCCACCCACCTTTCTTTTTCTTGCAAGCATCAAAGGCAGTATCTCCAAAGCATTTCGGCAAGGTCGTGAAGCCACCCACCTGTCTCCAAGGTTGCTGAGTGAAGCCCTGATTCTTCCTGCCTGCTGCCTTTTACCCACCAGAGCCCCCACTGCTTTGCACGGCCACTTCCTCCCCACTTTCTCCTTGGCTCCATGCACAGCAGATCACTGCAGGGGTGGACAGGGGCCACTGCGCCTCTCTTGCCTGTCCTTGTCACATTAGGGAGTTGGATAAAGCCAGGCTCTGGAGACCCACTGCCTCGGTTACTGCTTCTTCTTTTGTTTTTAAAATTATTAATTTTTATGTGTATAGTGCTTTACCTGCATGCATGTCTATGCACCACAGGTATGTCTAGTGCCTAGGGAGGCCAGAAGAGGGTGTCAGATACCCTAGATTAGAGTTACAGATACCTATAAGCTGCCATGTGGGTGCTAGGTGTTGAACCTCAGTCCTCTGGTAGAGAAGCCAGTGCTCTTTAACCTCTGAGCCATCTCTCCAGCTCTGATTACTGCTTACTAAAGTGGTGCTTTCTGTCTGTCCTCACTGAGCTCTGTGAGAAGTCCATTTTCAAGGGGTTGTGACTAAGTCTCAGAGACAGTCAGTTACTTCTTCATCATGCAGCAAGCCAGTGGCAGCCCTGACTTCCAGCCACAGACACCACCAGCAGCATAGTCTGGGGCTGTGGTGAGGCTACCCTTCGTGCTCCACAGGTCCGCCTGTACATCCTGGAAGAGGAGTTCCTGTCCTTTCACTTGGAGATGGTTGTACATGTGGATGCTGCCCAGGTCTTTCAGCTGCTTTCAGACCTGCGCAGAAGACCAGAGTGGGACAAGCATTACCGGTGAGGGACCAGTGCTAGGAGGAAGATGGGGGTTTGCCTGCTGATGCTTAGCATCTCCCATAATGCTTTGCTTCTACTGGCCTTCAGCAGGGTTGGGCCTGTGTTTGTTGGCAAATTTATGGGTATGTTGAAGCCCTAGGGAAGGAACTGAGCCTGGAATTGGATGGGGAGGTCTGAGTTTAAGTCCTGTATCTGTTCTAAATAGTTTGACATTGGTCAGGCCATTTTTGACCTGGGATTCGTTTGCTCCCTTAAGAAATTATTTTATGAGTATGGGTATATTTTGCCTGTCTGACTGTGCAACACACATGTGTCTGGTACTCATGGGGGTCAGAAGGAAGCATCAGATTCTTTGGTGGTGGAGGTAAAGATGGTTTTGAACTACCATGCGGATGCTGGGAGTTGAACCCAGGTCCTCTGGTGGGGCGGGGGGAAACAGCCTGTGCTCTTAACCTGTAAGCCATCTCTTCAGCTCTCCTATCTCTTAAGAAGGGTATTAGGGGATGGGCATGTCATGAAGGAGCAGTCAGTGTTCTTAACCACTGAGCCACCTGTCCAGGACCTACTCTGTAGTGTGTATGTGTGTGTGTGTGTATGTGTGTGTGTGTGCATGTGTCAGAGGACAACTTGTAGATTCCAGGGATTGAACTCAGCAGGCATGGTGGCAAAGTGCCCTTCCCACTGATCCAATCTGTGAGGTTGGAAAAGTTAATGTTTAAAGTGGTTGGTTGGTTCAGCATCCTCGAAGTCATCTTGTGTCCTGCCGGTTCTGTGGCTCAGTCGGAGCCTGCGTTACAAGTGCTTCCCTAGGAGGCTGATAGACTTGGGAACTCAGTGAGCTGTGCATCACCAGCTGACTTTCCAGAGTAGCCTGCTCCTTCCGAGTCTGTCCTCAGCAGAATGCTCATGGCCATTCATAGCCTGGCTTCCTGCCTGAGCTTTCTCTGCAGCCATGGCTATGCAGTGTTGGGGAGATGGATGTCTCAGTAGATAAAGTGCTTGCACACAGCATGAGAACTTGAATTTGAACCCCCAGAAGCCATGTAAAGCTGGGCACATGGCTCATGTCTGCAAACCCAGTGCTCCTTCTGTGAGATGGAAGACAGGAGACTCCCTAGAACCGCTAGGACAAAGTTAGTTTGGCACACACACGGGCAAATAGGTCACCCACAATGCACTATTATATGGATACCTGCACTCAAACACTCATAATTGGATATGCATGCACATACAATCACACTCACATAGAACAAAAGCTCAGTCAAGTGGCAAGAAGGAAGAAAAGGGAGAGAACAAATTGTGTTGCTCTAAAATGGTATGCACGGGTAGCCTGGACCTGCTAGAAGGGTATTCTAAAACTGAGAGGTGATTGGGTGGTGGCTGGGTAGAGGAGCTGGGAAAGGTGGGCTGCTGTGGACCAAATCAAACTTCACTGAGGATGAGTGACAGCCACCCTGTTCCCAAGCTAGCCTCTGTGCAGCAGAGATGTATGTGTGTGAAGGTGTGGTTATGTCCTCATGTGACTGTCCTTGTGTCTGTGGGTACCAGTGTCAGTCGATTGCTGTATACCTGAACAAATATGTGTGCCTGGGCTTGTGTTGTCTCCGTTACCCATCAGGTTGAGCACCCCAGCCTTGTTTCCTCATGAACTCTGTAGCCCCAAGTGGGTTATTCCCCAGCATCAGCTCTTCTCTCTAGAGAGGATGCTAAGACTGCCCACAGCACAGGGCTGCAGTGGAGGGATGCTGACTGTATAGCACCTGGACAGTATGCACAACTACCAAATCCTTGAACAGCTACTTGGGGTGTGTGTACCTGCAGACGGGTCTGTGAGTTCAGTGGTGTCTGTCTGTGTGCCTGTGCATGTATGAGCATATATATGCCTATACTCTGGCTCACAGTCCCAGGTGCAGTCCACTGTGGTGGGGAAGTCAGGGCAGAAGACACTTGAAGCACTTGTTAATACTGCATCCACAATAACAAGACAGAGGGAATGAATGCATGCTAGTAGTATCCAGCTCAGGGTCGCCATTTCCCCTGCCAGGTAATGGTGCTACCCACAGTTGAGATGGGGCTTCCTATGTCAATAATCAAGATAATCCTACAGGCATACCCAGAGGCCAGTTTCCCAGATGATTCTAGATTCTGTTAAGTTGACAGTACTACTATCAGTTTGCATATTTGTATTTGCTTGAGTACATGTCAGAGTGCTTTTGTGTTTGAGTGTGTGTACCTCTGAGTATGTATGTTTATATGGGCATGTGCTTGTGTATCTGCTCTGGTACACTCTGTGTGTGTGTGTGTGTGTGTGTGTGTGTGTGTATGTGTAGACAAACACATGCATACATTCATGCACACACATATCCTGGAGGGTCTCCACCCTTCCTCTGTCTCTGCTGAGCTGAGGTAAGGAAGCCATCTCAGGGCTGCTCAGAAGGCCGCAAGCTGCTGTGGCCTGAGTCCTGACTTCAGCCTCCCAACAGGAGCGCGGAGCTGGTTCAGCAAGTGGATGAGGATGACGCCATCTATCATGTCATCAGCCCCACCCTGAGTGGTAACACCAAGCCCCAGGACTTTGTGATCCTGGCCTCTAGGAGAAAGCCTTGTGACAATGGGTGAGCGCCTGCTTTCTGAGGGGTGCAGTAGAAGTGGGGAGGCCTCATCTCTCCTGGGAAGAGCAGTAACATGGAGGTCCGAGCTCTGCTGCCCACTGGTGGTTGGACTCAGAACCCACCAGCTGTTTCTAGGCACCAGTGGGAGTTCATCATGACAGCAAGGGCATATACTGCTCCTGAAAGCAAGGGGGACTGTGGCATTTGTGGCCACAGACAGAGGTTCCTTTCACATGGGTATCCCTTGGCCTCTGCCTTCTGGAAGCTTGTGGCTGTCACTTAAGGCATGGGTGTGGCTAGGATAGACTGCATCTCTTTTTCTGGAGACATGGACCAGAAGAATGAAAACCCAAAGGTACACAGGTCCATGAGGACATGTGAAGCCTGAACCTGATGCTGCTAACCCTTCCTGCAGCTGGCCCTGAATAAGGCATCCTCCTGTGGGCAATCTCTGACCCCTTCTGACTCTCCTCCAGGGACCCCTATGTCATTGCCCTGAGGTCCGTCACACTGCCCACACACCACGAGACACCAGAATATCAACGTGGGGAGACTCCCTGTTCAGGCTTCTGTCTGTGGCGTGAGGGGGACCAGTTGACTAAGGTAAGGCCTGGTATCCCCTCTACCCTTCCATCTATAGGTGAGGTGAACTTTACAGTCTGGACCCCCCTATGACCTCCCAGCTTTCCCAGCCTGAGCATCAGAGACTGAAAGGAATTCATCACTGAGATGTAGTCAGTGTAGTCAGAGAGCGGCTGATGCTGGGGCTTGGAAAAAGCTCTGGACACAGAATACAGAAATCCCAGCTCTGATCTAAAATTCTGCCATTGTTTATTTATTGTGTCTCCCTTTTTGTCTGGGAGGGCTTTATGTGGCTGAGGGTCTATAAAGGTTAGCAGGGTAGTCAGTGTTAACTGAAAAGGTAAGGAGCTGAGGGCAGGAGTGCTGCAGCTCCCCCCACCCCCGGTATGCAGTTTCCCTTGCAGCCCTAGACTGGCTCTGTGCCTTGCCCAGGTGCTGACTCCGCCAGCATTGCTAAGGACCTACACAATGAACATAGTCCAAGGCTTATGTCTACCATGTTTCTGTGATCATACCCCTCGCCCCCAGCACTTTGTTATAAAGTGGATTCAGGTATAGGTTTTGGAGAGTCAATCCCTGTCCCTGGGGCCACCTGGCCAACAGGGAATTATACAGTGACCTTGTAGTGTGCTGTGATAGGCCAGTCAGGGTTGTAGTATCCCAAGTATCTGGGGGACCTATGCAAGGTCTATCACTTGGGTTTTCTAACTGATCTTCAAGACGCAAGATTGTACCTGTTGCCTCCCCAGAAGGCAAGCAAGGCTGATTCCTCACCTGCCCAGAAGTCCTTAAGCCTCTCCCCATTATGCCTCCTTGAACTTGACTTCCTGCCCTGCAGGTTTCTTACTACAACCAAGCCACCCCTGGATTTCTCAACTATGTGACTACCAATGTAGCTGGCCTGTCTTCAGAATTCTACAACACTTTCAAGGCTTGTGAGAGTTTCCTGCTGGACAACCGGAATGACCTAGCCCCCAGCCTCCAGACCCTGTAGACACCATCCCATGCTGCCCCAGGTCTTACACAGTGTGTGGAGCAAAGCAGAGGCATTTATTCACCTTGACTCCCCATGGAAGCCTTCCACATTAGACGGTCCAGTCCTACTGGATGGTTGGTACCTGTTCACATCTGCCTGCAAGTCTTTCCTGTACTCATGTGGTATCCTGTAATAGACTCGGGTCCTGTCCACGGCCCTGGCCACCCACAATCCAGCCCACACATCCGTATGGCTGTTCCCAGCAAGGCTGTGGTACACGGTGACAGTGGCTCTAGGGGAAGAAGCCAGTAGCCTAGCCACAGTTTTGGCTGGACTCTGGCCCAGTGGCTCAGCCTGCAGCTGGAAGGACACAGGTTGACGGAGTCCCTGACACAGCTCCAGCATATCTGTAACCATCTGCTCCTGATAGCCACTGCCCAGCATCTCTTCAGGCCAGCCTGGTGCCACAGTCACATGGGGGAAAACTTCAGCCACAGCTGTGAGCAGTTCTCTGCCAGCTATGTGGCCAGGGACCACAAAACTACCATATGAGACTGTGGCTCCCACCCACACAGGCCAGGGCAGATGGCCAAGGGTGGAGAGGTGTGCTAATGTGGCCAGGGATGGCCGGAGAGCTGCGGGTTCCACTATGTTCACATGGATGCCCCAGCGCCTGGGGTGAACAGCCAGGTGCAGCAGACATGACTCCAGTGTCAGAACAGGACCACCCAGGGCACGCAGGATGGGCACAGGGTTCCCAGCCTCAGGTTCCTGGAGGCCAACATCCAGTAGGATCATCCCTTCTTTATCTGGAAGAGGCAACAGTGTTTGGAGATCCAGTCATCATGGGATGTCAGTGTTTCTTGTTAAAGGGGACAGACATGGGGACGTGTTCTGGGGACAAAGAACTGGTGCCAGCCATTCTTGAGTATTCCAGCCCCATCCCAGGCTCAAAGTGCTATGACTGGTGACTCTCAGGCAGGCATGACAAATTGTTGGCCTCAGTTCTTGACCTTCCTAGTGACTCAGAGCTGGGTCACCACCCACTCCTCTAGTCAGTGTGGCTGAGGACTCAAGGCTGTTGGTCTAAGACCAGGAGTTTCTGCTCTTGACATTATTCCTCCCACTTTGTATCCAGTGTGTGGCTTATCATGTTGCCATGGTAACAGAGAATCAAGTTACCCACCCAAGCAAATGACAGACCTGTAGGTTAGCCAAGAATTTTAGAGCTGCACGCAGACTCACCAGGGACAGCAATGGCTGCTCTTCTCCCTGTGCCATTCGTTCCCAGAGCCAGCCACTCTACCTCCAGACCATCACCCTTGGGCTGCTGGAGAAGAGGGATCAGGCTGCCACCTGTGTAGTAGGTTCGCTTCCGGGTGCTGTTCACTGTGGGACCCAAAGTTGCCAAAGTCAGGGACCACTCTTCACAAATCCCCTTGCATATGCACTGGCTCTCCCATACCCTAAGCCTTATGGCTGTCAGTTCCTTTTTGGGTAGATTTGAAGTCATTGTCTCATACTCTGACATTCAACAGAGTTTACTGGGCCAGAAACCAAACAGAGCTAGAGATGGTGGGCCCCAAAGCATGTCTCCTTGGCCCCTTCCTGGATATGACTCTCTCAATAGGAGTGGAATCTGATGGTACCTCTTGGGATGACTTCGTGTAGGTGCCCCTAGACTCAGGGGCAAGAGAACAGGGGTTTGCATAGTGGCATCTGGCTCATGAACTAGTGTGCACACAAGAGGGCTGTGCTCTGAGGCACTAGTGGCAAAGATGAATGGTGCTGTGAAAGCCAGTGCACATGTGCGTGTGCATCTGTCTGTCTGTCTTGGCTGACAGACAGGCTAGGTTATGATCAGATTGCACTCCTACAAAATCCTTGTGGTTCTGGACTGCTGCTTCCCTCTCTTTCAACCAGACTTCTGCTTTGTGGATAGGCAAAGCTTGGATAACAAACATAATATCCCAGGGGCAGAAGACAAATTCTCAGCATAGTTCCTGTCTCCTGTTCCAAGCAGAATTTTCCCTTTCTAGACCACCCTTTCTCTGTTTCCCTGCCCACCCAAGGCTGCCCTGAGCAGAGCACAGCCCACACCTCCCCTCTCAGGCTCCCTTCTTACAGGCCAGCTGCTTAAACTGTGAAAAGACAGGCTCAAAGAGGTCATAGTAGATCTGGTGAGTGGCACTGTTGTCCCGGATGAAGAGGAGATCTTCTACTGACACGGGGTCTGAGGCACCCTGCCACAGTGTCAGGCTGTACCTGGAACCAGAGAGCTGACTCAGGGCCCGCTTGGGCCCAGAAAGACCCTCGACTCTACTTGTGTGCTCAGAACTGAATGCCAGCTGAGCCCAGGAGTGGAACATCTGTTCTCTGGCTTCCCACCAAAGGATGATGGGGAGCAAGAGTTCAGAGGGCAGAAGGATGTACACCCCAGGGATATCTGTTTCTGAGTTACCCACCAATGGAAGCAGTGACCAGCCTGTCACGGTGGGGGAGGGGGGGGTACAAGCCAAAGGCAGAGCATAGGCCAGTGGGAATGGGACAAGATGATCTTTAGGATCCCTCTTGCCATGTTCATCTTGGGTCAGAGCCCAGGATAGGTTTGGGACCAGTAGAGGGGGTTTCACCTCTCAGATTGGCTCAGAAGCCAGCTGAAGTGAGGCCAAGCAGCCCGTGCCATGACAGCCCGCACTGGGAAGGTGACCTTCTGTGGCAGCGCTCTGACCAGTTCTTGCATTGTCTCCACCATGGCTTGGGTGTATGTGCTGTTTGGCAACTGAGGCACATAAAGAGTGGTAAAGCCTGGAGAAATGGTGACATTTGGATACTTCTCCTGGACAAGTGCCAGAAACCTGCAGAGAACAGAGATAGCCATCTTTCCAGACTGCTCTGGTACCTTCTTGTAGGCTCTTGCCACAGGGATAGGGAACAGCCAGGCCTATTGAGTGTGTGCTTGGAGATTGGCAGCAGAGCCCTAAAGAACAACAGTGGTTTGCACACTTTGGCTGACATCACCCCTCCTTGCAGTCAGGGAGGTCTGGGCTCAGGTCTCTACTCTGAATCTGGTGATCATTTCAGCCTGATTCTCAAAGACAGTGAGTGTCTGCCAGGGCAGGGCCTTCTAAACATCCCCACATCGCCAGAGGAGCCTGAGTGGGACTTGTAAGGTTTGCAGACTTTGAGTCTCCATTTCAGATTCCTAATTTTTTTCTATATGAGAAGGGCATGGTGCCACATGTCTGCAATCTCAGCACTTGGGGGGTAGGAGGCAGGAGGATCAGGACTTCTTTCATCCCCAGCTACATAGCAAGTGCTGATCTAGCCTAGGCTACACAAAACTTTCTCAAAGCAATAAATAAATCAAGAAGAATTATTTGAATTTTGTTCTGACACAAATTTTTAATAGGAAGGTAATGTCACCTTCTGGCCAGCCCCCAGATATATAAATCAGTATCCTGAGAGAAGCCTTATTTGTCTTGGGCCCTACATTTTCCAAATATATCTCATTTTGAAAATCATAGTAAATATTGGTTGGGCAGATGGGGGTGCCTACAGAACACAAAACCCGAGGAGAAAGGCCTGTGGGAACCTTTGCTCTCCCATTTTGTAGACTTAGACAGGCCATTAACCTTTCACAGATAGTTTTTATACTTACAAGATGAATATGACTAGTTGCTACCTCATTCTCTTAAGAGTTCAGCTGTATTCTGCAAATAAAATGCTTGAAACCATGCCTGGGGTACAATAACCATTCAACAGCATGTTTCTGTCATTGTGAATTTTCACATCAGAAAAATGGGGAGGAAATAAGTATCCTTGCCTGCCAGGGGCTGGGTCTTTTGGAGAGCTGGGGAGGGAGCCATCGCTATATAACTTTCTAGCAGGTGAAGTCCTGTGCATGTCATTGGGGAGACAGAAGAGGGTGTGGTCACAATGGAGCAAGGGTGAGCAACACATAAGCCAGCAGAAATGGTCCAACTGAGTCAGGCATGAGGGGCCCCATCTTCAGTAACCTGGGGTGCTAGGGACTCTTCTGGGAGTGGCAGGGACTGGGGAAAGACTCAGTAGAGCAAGAATGGAAACTCAGAATGCTGCTGTAGACCAGGTGTGGCAGAGCTGGAGACAGGAGGATCAGGAGTTCAATTCCAGTAGGAACTGCATGCAGAGTTCAAGGCTCTGCAGGGCTACATGAGAATTGTCTCATCCTGTCCCCCACAAGAGGTAAAGAAATCAGAGCAAAGGAAAAACTACCACCATCACAACAACAAAACCCAGAGATAGTGGCCCATAACTGTAAGTCTGGTACCAGGAGACAAGAAGCAAGAGGATCCCCACAAGTATGAGGCCAGTCTGATTCTTATAATGGGTTCCAGGCCAGCAAGATCTACGTAAACTGTGTCTTAAAAACACACAAAGGGAAGGGGCTGGAGAGATGGCTCAGAGGTTAAGAGCACTGGTTGCTCTTTCAAGGACCCAGGTTCAATTCTCAGCAACCACAAGGCAGCTCACAGCTGTCTATAACTCCACTTTCAGGGATCCAGCACTCTCACACAGACATACGTACAGGCAAAACCATTAATGCCCATAAAATAAGTCATTAAACGCACTCATAAAGGGGGTAGGCATCCAAGTTAAGAGGGAACAGTGCATGCAAATGCAGCAGTGGCTGGGGAGAAGGCCCAGCAGGTATAGGTAAGACTGATAACCTGAGTTCAAGGCCCAGTAACCACGTGTTGAAAAGAGCACCAAGTCTTTAATCTCTGACTTCTACACTATCATGGCAGCACATAGGCATAAATACACACAAAACAGGCTCAGAGGTGAGGTCTCATGGCGTGACTGGCAAATTCAACAAAGGTTCCCTAAGGTCCCTTTTCATGCTCAGTGCTGACAGAAGAGGGCTGGACTCAGCTGGGGAGAGGGTGAGCACTCACTGGGTAGCATTGATCTCAATTGAGATGGGCACATTGGGGCCCCTCAGGATGTCAGCATTGATCCACACCGGTCTCCGAATCCTGCCAGCCTCAGTCAGCTGCCGAAGGAGGTCCAGGGAGGGGCCTACAGCCTTGAGACTCTTGAAGTCCAGTTTGATGCCTGAAGGAAAGGGGCAAGGACTGGGGAACTGGATGTTGACTTGCTGGGCAGAAAGAGCAGGGAACAGTGGGTGGACAGCTTTGAGGCAGGGAGAGCCAATTCTGAGAAGAAGGTCTCCCCTCTTCATCCCAGGTAGACAGAAGCAAAAGCCAGCTGAAGGCCTGGGCTGGTGCAGGGAGACTCAGACATAGAAAAGGGCTTCAGATTCTGGACAAGGCGCACTCTGGGACCCTGAACCACAACCATCTGTGAGGAGTCCAGTAGGCCCCCAGGAAGGGATGACTGAGAGGGTGACTGGATAGAAAAGGGATCCAGTGTGAATGAATGCCCATCTTAACTGTGGACACAAGAGATGAGGGTTCCAAGTTAGAGATCCAGAAAGTCAAGCCAGGCCAAGGGGAGCCATGGAGGGTTAGGCAGGAGTCATAGATGTGTGTGGCAGTCAGATGAGGCTGCCCCTGTGAGAAACGATGTGGCTACGATTGGAGTTACAGCTGCGGGGGGGGGGGGCAGATGCTGGGCGGATGAGGAGGATGAGGGCGCATGTGGTTTAGGGCAAGGTCTAGATCCAGACTGGAAAGGGGAGTTGGAGGGGACAGGGTTTGGCTCTGAACTCATCATATCCAGTTCTGCTGACCCACGAGGGACACTTAGACCCTGTCTGGCTCTTTGCAGTTTATTCACAATTTCATGTCCCTGTGGGTTCTGGAGAGAACACATGGGTCACACTTCCTCTTGTCCGCCTCACTTAGCTCCCTGTGAGCCTGAAGTCTGGAAAGTGGGGGGAGGGGAGCTCAGGGTGGGCTCTGGCTTCACCTCACTCTAGAGGTGAAATCCCTACTTAAGGGCAAAGGTCTGGGGAGCCTGTAGGGCTGGGAGAGGGAGGACTTACCCTTCTGAGATGAGGTCAGTACAGCTTCCAGCCATTCCTGCAGGGTGTTGTCACTGTAGATGGCTGGAGGGTGGGCCATAATGGGCACCTCGGTTTCATTGACTGTGTTGAACCCTTCTACGGTGACATCTGCTTCTAAGACCATGACATCACCTATTTATAAGAGGCAGAACTCAATCAATGCTCTAAAATAATATGTATTTTATCTATTGTGTGTCTGCTCACGCACTGAGGCTTATGGGTAGTGGTCAGAAGACAACATGCAGGAGTCAGATCTCCATCAACTGTGCGGGTCCTGGGGCTCACACTCAAATCACCAGGCTTGGTGACACTTCTCTTTACCTGATGAGCCATACAGAGGCTTCTCGATCAGTACCCTCCCCCCAACTTTTTTTTTTTTAAATGAATCTCTGGCTAGCCTGGAATTCTTATTTAGCCCAGACTGGCCTCAAATTCAGAGATCTCCTCTGACTTCTGAGTGGGAGGCACAAGGCCTGATCTGCCTCAGTTTATTGACTGTTTTATTCCTCTGAATAGAATTTGAGACAGAACCATCTGAAAGCCACTGTTGACAATTTACTGTCCAGAATAGTGGTTTTGCCTGGTGCTCCCCGCCTACACTAAGGCATTATTTTTACCTGCTAACTTCAGGCAGTTAATTCAGGTGAGCCCTTGTATGTTTAGTTGAAATGGAGCTCAGACCTTTGGCACCAACTTTAATGTATACAATCAACATGCATGTATAATCAACACGCAACTGTGAAATTGTAGGTTTTGATCTCAAGTTTGGAGCGGAGCTGAGATTCTCATCTCTCAGGTGCTCCCCAGTTAGGTCAGTCCTCCATCCCAGGGCCTTAGCTGAAGCCACAGCTCTCCTCCACTCTCTCTCTCCACGGAGAGAGTCCTCTCTCCGTGGTAGTGGAGCTGGCTAACACCTGAAGCACTTTAGAGATGAACATGGGCAAAGGAAAGAGGACTGGTGTGCTGATTTACACCAGTGTCCAAGCATTAGGCAGATCTTGCTTGAGGCCCATCTGGGGTACATAGAAAGTTCAAGATCTCCCTGGGCCAAATCATGAGATCTTGTCTAAAAAATAAACACAACAAACTCAAGACCAACAGCTCAAGCCCAGGGAAGTGAGACATCTCATCTCGTATCATTGAGAATTTTAAAAATGCATTCTATGTGCTTAAGTGACTTCCTACATGTATGTGCATGAACTGTACCTGGTGCTAGTGGAAGGAAGAAGGGAGAGAGAACATCTGATCCCCTGGAACTGGAATGATAGACAGCTTCAAGCTGCCATATGGGTGCTGGGAACTGAACGCAGGCCCTCTGCAAAAGCAGCAAGTGCGTTTAAGCACCGAGCTTTCTCTTCAGCTCTCGTGCCTGAGAATATTATCAGGTTTCTTTAAAAATTCAGGTGCTGGATTTTTAGGGGGAGAATGAAGTCAAATATAGGCTGTTGCTGGCTCTGATTTTGCTTGTCTCTCGGGACAATCTTACCCTATTGCCCTGGGTATCCTGGAATATACTGTACAGTCCAGGCTGGCCTCTACCGCCCAAGTTCTGGGATTACGTACCAACATGCCCAACGTCATCTGCTTTTGAGATGGCCTTGTTTTGTGGCCCAGGCTGGCCTGGAGCTTGGATCTCCCCCCTCAGCTCCCTAGGGCCAGGGTCACAGGAGTGAGGGGCACACCATCCATCCTATCCCTGCACTATGATAGGTTGTGTTTTGAAGTTGGAACTACTGTCCTTAATGGTGAGAGGGGACACAAGTCCCAGGCCTCAGAACCCATTGTGAGCCCGGAGGCCCATGGACGTTATGAAATGAACTTTATTTTTGTTACTCAAACACAAAAGTTGTTTTTTTTTTTTTCTTTCTTTCTCCAAGACACAGTTTTCCCATGTAGTCTTCAGTGCCCTGGAACTCACTCTAGACCAGGCTGGCCTCGAACTTCCTGAGTGCTGGAATTAAAGGCATGTACCACCACTGCCCTGACCAAAGATATTTTAAAGGTGTTTTTATCCCCTGGAACTGGAGTAACATACAAGCATAAATCACCCTGTGAGTGTTAGGAATCAAACACAGGTTTCCTCTTCGAGAGCAGCAAGTGCTCTTAACCTGAGACATCTCTCCAGCTTCTGTAAGTTTCTTTCTAACTTTTTCCTACTTGGACATACAGTGGGTAGAGACCATGGTTTTGGGACATAGAGAATCCAGACTGGAGAGGGACACCTTGAAGATACTGGTGTGGCTTAAACTAGGTGTGGTAGCACACACCGGTAACCCTGGCACTTGGACTCTGGGGGCAGGGTGGTTAGAGTTCAAGGCTAAGCTGGGTGTGGTGGCACCTGCCTTTGATCCCAGCACTCCGGAGGCAGAAGCAGGGGATCTATGTGAGTTCAAGGCCACCCTGGACTATACAGTGAGTTTCAGGATAGCCAGGGTTGCACAGAGAAACCTTGTCTCAAAATACCATTAACAAATAAAACAACAACAAAAAAGGAGTCCAGTGCTAGCCTATTAAAGAATGGGGGCTGTGCCGGGAAGTGGTGGCACATGCCTTTAATCCCAGCACTTGGGAGGCAGAGGCAGGCAGATTTCTGAGTTCGAGGCCAGCCTGGTTTACAGAGTGAGTTCCAGGACAGTCAGGGCTATACAGAGAAACCCTGTCTCAAAAAACCAAAAACAACAACAAAAAAGACTTAGTGTTTCTGGGGATGTAACTCACTAGTGGAGTGCTTGCCTAGAATGCATTAAGGCCTTGGAATTAACCTCTAACACTGCCAAAAATAAGTGAGGCGTGGTTTATGTCTGTCATCCTAGCAGTGACCCTGCTATTGCTTCACAAATGGGATGCAGATGTATGGTGGCTTCTTACATGCCATGTCTTCCTGGAAGGTCCTTTCCTTTAATACTGAACGTTGTGGACTTTCCAGAGGCTGGACCTGGGGGCTGACCAAGGAAGTGAGGGAGCTTAGAGCCTCAGGATGGTGCCCACCAGAGGGCAGGAAGCATACAGTGCCAAGCTCTCCACTCAGACACCATTGAGTCAGGTGAGCACACCTGAAAGCTGTGTGGCACAACCCAGATTACCTGACCTCTCCATGCTTCCTTCCTCATCTGTGAGAATTAAATAGTAACATACCCCAAGTTAGGCATTCACTGAGTGTTAATTATTATTTACACTTACCTAGGGTAACCTAGGACCATCTGGTGTGCTTCTGCTGTCTCAACACAATTACTAATAATGACCTTGTTTGTATAATCAAGCATGCCCCAGTTTGGATGACAAATGAGTGACCACCAACCCAGGAGGGAAAGCCATTTGCCTGGAATCTATACTAGCACCCCCCCCCCCTTTTAGCCCAGGCTAATCTGGAGCTTGCTACATGACCCAGGATGTCCCCAGAGTCTTCAGCATCCTTCCCTGGCCTCCCCAGTGCTGAGATTACAGGTGTGCCCACCATGCCTGGCCAGAATCATGGTGAGTACATGCCAAGGTAAAATGTGAACTTTCTGCACTGCCTCCAGGCCTGCACTCTGGCTCCCGCTCTCTCTGAACATCCAGTCTTGTCTACCTAAGTCTGCCAGCTCCTTCAGAGGCCTTCCCCAGAGGCCTGGCCACAAGGAAACTGGGCCTCTCTGCTAAGGGGGAGTATTTGTGTTCCTTGATGCAGTAGTGTACACCCCTGGGTGGGATTGGGTGGCATCCTGATGACTCCTCCTTGTGCCAGTGTGCTCTGAGTGAAGCCAGATGGTAGGTTCTCTTGGCATGCCCTGGGGCCTTATGACCTGTCTCTCATGTCAGGGTAAAAGGTTTTGTTTTCCAGTTATGTTGTGTGTGTGTGTGTTTTGTGTGTCAACTTGACACAAGCTGGAGTTATCACAGAGAAAGGAGCCTCTCTTGGGGAGATGCCTCCATGAGATCCAGCTCTAAGGCATTTTAGTGATCAAGGGTGGGAGGTCCCATTGTGAGTGGTGCCATCCCTCGGCTGGTAGTCTTGGGTTCTATAAGAAAGCAAGCTGAGCAAGCCAGGGGAAGCAAGCCAGTAAGTAACATCCCTCCATGGCCTCTGCATCAGCTCCTGCTTCCTGACCTGCTTGAATTCCAGTCCTGACTTCCTTTGGTGATGAACAGCAATGTGCAAATGTAAGCTGAATTAACCCTTTCCTCCTCAACTTGCTTCTTGGTCTTGATGTTTGTGCAGGAATAGAAACCCTGATTGGGTTTCTTGGGAGGCAGAGGCAGGTGGATTTCTGAGTTCAAGGCCAGCCTAGTCTACAGAGTGAGTAAGTTCCAGGACAGCTAGGGCTACACAGAGAAACCTTCTTTGTAAAAACCAAAAAAAAAAAAAAAAAAGAAAAAGAAAGAAAGAAAAGGAAAAAGAAAGAAAGAAAGAAAAAGAGAAAGAAAAAAAAAGAAAGAAAGAAACCCTGACTAAGACACAGAGCCAAGCAGGTTTCCCACTAGCTAAACTTTGCAGGCTCCTAGTTAAGACAGTTTCATCTTTAGCCAACAGAATTTACTGTCCATGCTCTTTTCCAGAGAAAGAAGAAGGGGCTAGCAGGTGTAAGAAACAGGAGTGGTAGCTTGGCATTAGCCCCGATGTTTCAGATAGGAGACATTTCTTTCGTGTCACCCAGTGTCTCCTGGGTGAGCTTGAGAAGCATGGCTGATGTGAAAGCTTGCTGTTTCCTTCTCTCCTTCACTCCTGGCCACCAAGGCCCAGCTGTCACACTGCTGAAGTAGTGGTGGCCCGGGGCTGTCCCAGCCTTCATTCAACCAGTTCTTTCCAAGTCACATGTCAAGCCTGCTGTATGGTGACCTGCCAGAGCAAAATCCATTGTCTGATGGCCAGACCACCTCCATTTCCGACCTACGTGTGACCCTGGATGATACTCCAGGGTACTCACCTGAAACCTGGTCTCCCTCCTTTCTCCCCCTCCAATTTCTTTCTGACAAGGTCTTGATATGTAGCCCATGCCAACCTGGAACTAGTCGTCGATCTCCTGCCTCAGCTTTCTGAGGTCTTGGGTTACGGGCCAGCAAGAAAATTTTTCTTGACTGGCAGGTCTCACAACGAGTTCCTGAACACCAGTGGCCCAGGAGCTCTGAGGCCACATCCACAGTGCTGAATGGGGGACCTGCACTTCCTGAAGCAAGCTCAAGCCAGGGACCATTACCCTAGTCCTCCATGACTTCTCAAACAGCCCTCAAAGAGAATGTTTCCCCATGACCCAACCCAGGGACTCAGATCACAGATTTTGGGGTTGACCTCTCTCTCTGACAGCAAAACCTAGGTCACCTAATTTCTGAGCTTCAGTTTTTCTCCTGTGAATGATTCCCATGAACAGGTTACATGGGTTCCAGGGGACCTCCATGGGGTGTGAGGGAGTGTATGCCTGTCACTGACAAGGACTCTATGATTGTTTTGATGCAGACTCTCCTCAGGTGTCCTTCATAGTCCGTTTCAGAAACACTGGCTCTCAAGCTCCTATCTCTGGCTTCTTAGTCCTGGAAGTCAAAGGCCTCCTTAGCAGGGACCATCAGCCTCCGACAGGCTGAGGAGGGTTGTTGGAGTGAATACAGTACAGTGATGAACCTGGAATTAGCATTTGGATCCAAGGCTCAGCGCTCGCTGTTCAACCTGAGTGAACTTAGCCCACAGCCCTGTTCCCTCAGGGAGACTATGGCATGTATATTAAAATAGCCATCACAGAGTTGCCATGACCACAGTGTCATTTGGCCTCTGGCCTCTGACCCCAAGCAGGATGGCTAGACTTACTGTTCAAGGCGTCCTCCATTGCTTTCTTGCTGTTGGCTGCGTGGTACCAGGTGACCAGCAGGCCATCCCGGTGACTGATCTGGCCTGTGCTCAGCATGTAGTCCAGCATGTCAGCATCAGGACGGCAAACCGCCTCGTTCTCACAGCCTGGAACTAATGCCAAGGGGTTGTTACCTTTATCTTTTGCTCAGCCCAGAATGCTCAGCCATAATCCTACCACCCTGAACCTAGCACTCAGTCTGGTAGACAGGACCCACAGGCCCTGGTGCAGTAAGATACAGACAGGGAGGGACTACACACAGTAAGCTTCAGGTCTTTTATATGCTTTCATAAACTTGTTGTGGCATATGCATATCTGTCATTCCATCACTATGGTGGGTGAGGCAGGGCAATCAGAAGTTCAAGGTTGCCCTTGGGTACACAGGGAGCTGGGGACCAGCCTGCGATACATGAGTCCTTGTCTCAAGAGTCAGACAAGCAAGGGCTGTGGAGATGGGTCAGCAGGTAAGGGCACTTGCCTCCAAGGCTGGTGGCCTGAGTTTAATCACGGAACCCCACATGGTGAGAGGAAACCGACCCCACATGGTGAGAGGGACTCCCACAAACTGTCCTCTCTCTCTCTCTCACACACACACACACACACACACACACACACACACACACACACACACAGGAGGGTAGACGAGTAGAAGGAAGAGAGAGAGGAGAGAGAGGAGAGAGAGAGAGAGAGAGAGAGAGAGAGAGAGAGAGAGAGAGAGAGCGAGCCCAGAAGACAGGGTGTTGTGTGGCTTCCTGGGGCCACAGAGACCCTTTCCTTGGCCTAGGATCAGTAGGAAAGGGGGCGCTTAAAAGAGAAGGGGGCATTAGGAGGTACTTGGGGGGATGGGTGTACACTTGACAGAGAGGTGTATAGATGATTCTGGACTGAAGAACAGTGAAGGCCTAGCCATGGGAAAGAATGTTTGTACAAAGGAATGGCCCTTGCCTGGTCCTCATGGGAGAAAGAAGGCTATCTACCTCCTGTGGAGGAGTTGGGTCTGTGGGGCGTGCTAGCCGGGGAGTTGTTTAGAAAAAGCTATCTGGCTGCAAAGAGCAGTGGCTGGTAAGAGCCCACTGGAGACAGAGCCCCTGCAAGGATCTAGGAGAGAGCCCTGGGGTCCTGAGGGCAGTGCTGGTGAGAGACAGAGGGGAAGAATGGGGAGCAGAGCCCCCAAATCAGGATAGACTCAGGACTGAGGCACAGGTTTGGGAGGAGGCTGTTCCTGGAGGTCTGGAAGGCCCCCTATCAGGGAGTCATTGCAAAGAGCAGCAGATGTGTAGAAGAGTGTGTGGAGGCTGCTCATAGTGCTCGAAATCTCCAAGAAGGAATGCCCCTCCAAAGGCACAGGGGGGTCTTGGCTGAAGGCTAAGATCCAGTGAACAGGGGAAAGTCTGAAGTATCAGCGCAGACTAGAGCTGGGCATGTGGGCAGAGCTCAGTGAGGTAGGAGGTGAGAAGTAGGGAAGATGTGCAGGGAGTGGGGCGTCCTACCTGGACGGGTGCCCTGATGCAGGGTTAGGCCCAGGATCATCGAAATGGCCAACACCAGCGTCACACTGACACTGCCAGCAAGGATCCACTTGGTCTGGCCACTGGAGCACCACTTCTTGCAGGCCATTGTGAGCCTCACTCAGGAGAGTTCCCTTCAGGATCCCACAGCCACAGTCCCCGGAGCTCCCTCCCTGCAGCTGAGATCTGGTGGGAGGCGGAGCCTGCAGTAGCATTTAACTCAGGTCTGGCCACTCCCACTGTGGGTGGAGAGGGCTCAGAAACCCTGCCCTCCTCCTAGCCCTCCTTTTCCCACCCATGCAAGACCTTATCAGGCTAAGCAGAAAATCCTGCCACCTCCCAAATGAACTTGGAGCACATCAGGAAGCAGTGGAGGACTGGATACAGCCCGACCCTGGTGCAAGAGATCTATTCCAGTTGGTCTGGGTTTCCTGGTGGCCTAAAGCAAGCCAACATGTCCTCCAAGGCCTTGTTTGTGAAAGGAAGCAGTGAACTTGGCCATCTCTTTACTCCCCTATCTAGACCTTTCTGCTCTGCTCCAGGGAACCCCCAGGTCATGAAAGGGTTGGTGACAAGAGCAGATTAGATCTGCCCTAGGGACATGGATTTCCTTTTATCTGAGATGGTGGCTGATAGACAGGGCTGGGATGAGAGACGATAGCCCTGGCATGTGAACCAGCGGCATGCAGGCTGCCTTGGAAGCCTGGGCAGGCATGGGCAGGGCTAAGTCACCTGCTTAGGCAGAGAGGGTTCTAGAGGCAATGGAGGAAAGAAGTTAAGGACTGTCCCTATTTCACAGGCTAGGGAACTTGGAGGAGTCAAGGAGCTGCTGTGAGAGTGTGCAGAGGGAGTTCAGCTCAGAGGTTAGGAGACAGCAGGGTACCAGGTGACAGGTGAGTGACTCTCTTGGTATTATCAATAACAACAAATGAAATGTAGGTTTTGCTTTTCTTTCTCCCTCCCACCCCCAACCTCCCCAGGGTTTCCCTGTGTAAGAGTCCTTACCTAGATTTGCTCTTAGACAAGGCTGGCCTTGAACTCACAGAGATCCACCTCCCTCTGCCTCCCCAAGTGCTGAGATGTATGTACCACCACCGCCCAGCCAGATATATTTATGTTTATTGTATGAGATTTGTTTGACTAGTGTGCCAGTCCCTGTGGAGTTCCTAAGGCATCAGACCCCCAGGAACCGGAGTTATAGGTGGTTACTGGGAATTGAACCTGGGTCCTCTGCAAGAACAGCCAGTGCTCTTAACCACTGAGCTATCTCTCCAGCCCCCTTACTTGTATTTCTGAGACAGAGTCTCATATAACCCAGTCTGTTTTGGAACTCTTGTGCAGACCGCACTGGCTTGAACTTACAGTAAGCCTCCTACTTCAGATTCTCAAGAGTTAGGATGACAGAGATGAGCCATCATGCCTGACTTAATTCTTCAGGAGAGCCCTTCATGTTCAGAAGTGTAGATGATGTGGTAGAGACCAGAGTTCAAGGCCATCCTCAGCTACATAGCCAGTCTGAGGCTGTCCTGGAAACCCTGAGACTTGAGTCTCAAAAATTAAAACTGAAAGTTCTGGGGCTCTCAACAGTAGAGTATTTGCCGTGTGTGTGTGTGTGTGTGTGTGTGTGTGTGTGTTTGTATGCGTGTGCACTTGTGTGCGCACACAGGCTCACATTCTGGGTTCAATCTCCAGTACTGGGGAAACAAAAGACACTTGGAGTAGGGCTCTCATAATGTTCTATTCCTTTTTTTCTTTTGCATGTATATGGTATGCACATGTGGTACGTATATGTATATGTGGTCTATATATGTCTGTGTGTGTGTGTGTGTGTGTGTGCCAGAAGTTGACATTTGACATCTTTGGTGTCTCTCAATCTTACATATCGAGGCAGGGTCTCTCACTTGAAGCCATCTATAGCTTGTTGATTTGACTACTCTAATTAGTCATCTGGTTCTGAGACTCCCCTGTCTTTGCTTCCTCAGGGCTGGGATTACTGGCAGGCCATCATGCCCATCCAACTCTTACATGGTTGCTGAGGGTCGGACCTCAGGTCTTCATGTCTGTACAGCAAGCACTTTGTTCAGTAAGCCGTATCCTCGGCCCCACAAAGTGCTGAATCTACATCTGGGTGCTGGTCATCTTGTGCCCTCATTAAGAATTCATCAGACATGGCACGGTATGCTAAGTCTTCTGCGTGTATCTAACGCTGTAGTACAAAGGCTGAGACAGGAAGATCATTAGTGAACCTGGGCTATGGAAAGATCCTGTCTCAAAGAACAAAACAAAACCAGGGCTGGTGGGAGGTGCCTTGAATCTCTGTACTCTGGAGGCACAGGTAGGCTGATCTCAGTAAGTCAGAAGCCAACCTGGTCTACATAGTAACTCCAGGCCCTCCAGGGCTATCTAGTGAGACTTTTTTTTTTCCCCGAGACAGGGTTTCTCTGTGTAGTCCTGGCTGTCCTGGAACTCAGAAATCTGAGTGCCTCTGCCTCCCAAGTGCTGGGACTAAAGGCGTGCGCCACCATTGCCCATTGAGACTCTTTTTCAAAAACAAAATATAAAGAAACAAATAAATGGAGCCGGGACTAGCTGGATGGGCAGGTAGAGGCAGACTGAAGGGGCCCCTGCATCAGTAGGGACAGATTGAGGCCTTTGTTATCAGCAAAGTTCCCTTAATCCAGTAGATGAGTGACTGGAGAAGGTCTGTGCCTGCCCTGCGGAACATCAGCTGGAAACCTGGCCAAGGGCCGGGCTCCTGTGATCACGGAGACACGGTTTACTGTAAGAAGAAAAAAGTTTTTCTGGGGCTGTAGTTTAGTGGTAGATCACTTGTCTAGCATGCAGTAAGATCTGGGATAAATTCCCAGGCTTGCAAACAAATTAAAAATTGGAAGGCTTTAAAAAGCTAAGCCTGGTAGTGTAAGCCTGTAGCTGCAGCTACCAGGAAGGCTGAGATGCACGATCACAGACAGGTTCATGGCCTGTGGGCTACAGAGTGAGTTCAGGTCCGATCTGGGCAACCTAGACTTTGTTCCAAAATAAAAAGTAAAAAGAGGGCGGGGGAGCAGCTCAGAGGTCACATGCTTCTCCTGGCATGCAAGCTCCCCCCTGCTACATCCCAAGAACTACGAAAAAGAGGAAACTACTTATTCTGTGGCAAATATGAGAGAGCATGGCTTGGGAACATGGGTTCAAATTTCCCTAAATAAAAAAGGTGGCATGGATTTTGGGAATGGCAGAAAGGGCATCACCGTATTTACAGAGCTCAGCGAGGCTGGGGCAGGGTAGAGAGTAGAGGGTCTCTGATGGTATTCTTTGTGTTAGAGCTGTTGTGGGGGGTGCGGGGACTAGCTGTGTCAAACTCAGGAAGGTGTTGGGTCATGTATAGGTGGTTGATAGTAAGTGGCTATTAAAAGTAGCTAAGAGGCAGGCATGGTGGCACATGCCTTTAGTCCCAGTACCCAGGAGGCAGAGCCAGAATAAGAGGCAGGCAATGGGTACACACCTTTAATCCCAACACCCAGGAGGCAGAGCCAGGAGCATGGCCAAGTCAGTGCTTCTCTCCTCTTCCCTCCCATCTCTTTGGTGTATGTATTTGAGATAGTGTTCTGGAACTCACTATGTAGACCAGAACGGACTTGAACTCACAGAGACCTGCCTGGCCCTTCTCTCAAGTGCTGGGATTAACGTTATGGTCCACTACACCCAGAAACTCAGAAGTAAGGGATATTTCTTTTTTTTAATTTTTAAAATTTTTATTTATATGCATACACTGTAGCTATCTTCAGACACACCAGAAAACGGCATCGGATCCCATTACAGATGGTTGTGAGCCACCATGTGGTTGCTGGGGATTGAACTCAGGACCTCTGGAAGAGCAGTCGGTGCTCTTAACCACGAGCCATCTCTCTAGCCCCAATAGATATTTCTTAATGCCAAGTGCAAAATAAAGAGAATGCCTCTTCCAAGAGCTAGCCATGGGGCCTTGCTCTCCTCACCACAGAATCTAGGTCACACACAGTGTGTATCTGGGCCCTGTTTTCCACCCCACCCGATCCACACATTATCAGTCTTGGATGAAGCAAGGTGGGGCAGGAAAAAGATCAAGGACTTGGGTTCATTGGTGTCCTGGCCTTTGACCTTTCTTGTCACAGATTGTCTGGCTCCAAAGCACTTGACACCCCAAAATAAACAGAGGTAGAAGGTCACAGGAGATGTTCTGGGGTTCTTTGAAGGCCCCCTGAGAATTAGCCTTCATTTGAGTCAGGTCCTGTCTAAGTGCAGTTGGGCGTCTAAAGATACATCTCTCTTTTTAAAGATTCCTTTGGTCCTCTGCATTGTGTAGGCAGCAGGAGGAGTCTTATTGGCTGGGGGACTTCCGGATCATGGTGACCTCACAAAGACTATAAGCCCGGCTTGGGCTGGGGGGAGCCCAGGTAAGCTGAAGGGTGGCTTTGGGACAGTACCAAGGGTAGGGTCAGCCTTCACAGCCTCCACAAGGCAGTTACTACCTAGACCCCAAACCCCTGCTAGGTAAAAGTCTCCCCGTCTGGCTCTAATTCCACAGTTCTTACTTCATACCTTTGGATTAAAGTTGAATTTTCTGTTGCCATGTGGATGCCCCAGGTGGAGGTAACACACCAGCGGCCCAAGGCTCACAGAAAGCTATTTGTCCTGAGAGTGGAGCGTGGGAGAACAGGGAAGGCGAGGGGCAAGAGAGTGAGAAGAGCCAGAGGGGATACCACAGACCAGGGGTGAGGCGGGGGTGTGGAGGCCTAGGGCCAGAACCCCTCCTACGATCCCCCAAGGGAAGGATGAGGTGTGGATGGACAACTGTGGAAGGCAGGATGTATCCAGAGCGGCAGAGGAAATGGGGTGAGAATCCAGAAGGTGCTTTTCCCATTAAGGGATCCCTAGAAATCTCTGTGGTGCTATGAGGGCAGGGAGTGAGGGTTGAGAAGCCACTTGCTGGGGACTTGACACACATCACCAGCTCCCTGAATAGTCTCAATTAATGTGCTAGTAAATGAGGGCAGTGATATCTATTTTGAAGAACTGTCATTCATTCATTCATTCATTCATTCATTCATTCACTCACTCACTCATTCACTCACTCATTCACTCATTCACTCATCCATCCATTCATTATCTCC